GTGTGGCTTCAAAGGGAAAGTCTGGAGGTTTGATGTTAATTTGGTAAAATGATTTTTTCAATTTAGAGGAACAGTTGATGGATAGGTATTTTATTCTTGTGATTGGTTCAATTAGGGGTTTGTCTAAAAACTGTAGATTTATAAATGTCTATGCACCTAATGATGAAATTGAAAGAGCTCTTTTTTTAGTTTCTTTGTTGTAAGAGATGAAAAAGCATCATGTTTGATAGTGTGTGGGAGGTGATTTTAATATTGTAAAGGAAGAGACTGAAAGATTAGGGCAAGGTGACATTTCCCATTTTGCAAAAGCATTTTCTAGTTTTATTCAAGCGGCAGTGCTTGTTGATTTTTTTATGGCTAAAGGCAAATTTACTTGGAGCAGTTGAAGAGATGATGTATCTTTTAGTATGGTTGATTGCTTCCTAATAAACCCTGAGTGGTTAGCCCAGTCTTAGAATTTGACCCAATAGTGTTTATCAAGCTCTTTATTAGATTATAATCCAATTTTGTTAAGTGGGCAGAATTTTGATTGGGGGGAGAAACCTTTTAGATTATTCAACTTTTGCTACGATGAAAAGTGGTGTTTGGTACTTTATAATGTAATGTGATTACAGGTAATGTGATTGCAAGTAATGTGATTACAGATAATGTGATTGCGGGGCAAATAACATTACAGCGTTTGGTTTACAAGTACTTTGTTAAGAATGTAATGTTAATTTTCAAAATTATGCTTAGTTATTAAAATACAAGTTTAATATATTTATATTTTTTATTATTAGTTTTTATATAATATCATCTCTTAAATATATTTCTAATGTCATATATTTTATTTTCATTTATTATTATAATCTTATATATTTTATTTTTTTTCTTTAATATAATTTTTTATATTATATATTTTATTTTAATTTCTTTTACCTATATTATATAAATTTTAATTTTTTATATTTTATTTTATTTTAATTTTTTATTTTTATATTATATATTTTATTTTAATATTTTTTATTTTAATTATAATATTGTAAAATATTTTTAATAAGGTAATAAAGTTGAAGGGTAAAAATATCTTTAAGAACATTATAGAGTGAAATGTAATGTGATTGCATTGATTTTATACTGCAATCACATTACATACATTGGCTGTAATGTGATTACATTTCAACCTTACATTGTAGTGATCTGTTACAAAACAAACCCTGCAATGTAATTTAATTGGACATATTGCAAGGAATGTACTTTCGCTTATCTCATACCAAACGCTACCAAAGTTCATTTTAAGAGTTGATTAGAAAGAATTGGGATAGTGCAAAGGTGGGTAATTTGAGAAGGCCATCAATTTGGCGAGGATGAAAGAATTTGCATCCTATAATTAAATATTGGAGTCAAAATCATTATGGAGATATGGTGCATCGAATTGAAATGTTGGAGAAGGAGATTCAACATATGGAAATCAAATGACAAAATATGGGGCATGAATTTGATAAGCGTGACTTGGTAAAGGAGAAGCGTAATGAGTTGTGGACATTATACAGATCAGAAGAACAAAATTGGTAGCAACTATCTAGAACTAGATAGGCAGTGGAGAGAGATAGAAATATTAAGTATTTCCATGCAATGGCTTCAGTGAAACAAAGAATGAATCGAATTATGAAACTATCTGTTAATGGTGAAATTATTGAGCAGCAGAGTGCAATTAAATAGGAGGAGCTTAATTAAACATTTTCGCAAATTGTATAGTGCCAGGCAAACAATGAGGTTGGTAAATATAAAATGTGATATTTGTAGATAGGAGACTTCATTTATACTAGATTTGGAGATGCTTTTTACTGAATCAAAGGTTTGGGGGCTAATTAAGAACAGTGATGGGAGTAAGGCCTCGAGACCTAATGGTTTTAACTTCAGTTTTTTCAAATCTCAATAGATGGTAGTGAAGACTGAGGCAGTGAAATGCGTATCTGATTTCTATTCCATTGGCCGTTTGGGTCATGGTGTTAATGAGAGTTTTATTACCTTAATTTCAAAAATAAAAATCCTAACTCTGTTAGGGAGTATAGGCCTATTAGCTTGGTGGGTTGTGTGTACAAGATTCTTGCTAAATTATTAGCAAATCATCTTAGGAAAGTTGTGGGTGAAGTAATAAAGGATTCTCAATTTGCTTTTGTTCTTGGCAGGCAACTGTTAGATTCTTCTTTAATTGCAAAAGAGGTGGTAGATTATTTGCATAAAAATAAAGAGGGTGGATTGATGTGGAAAGTTGATTTTAAAAAGGCTTATGATAGTGTATGTTGGGAGTTTCTAGATTTATGATGAAGAAAATGGGATTTGGTATGAGATGGAGGTAATGGATTATGGAATGTGTAACTACAGCTTCAGTCTCTGTTTTATCAAATGGCCCTCCTACTAAGCCAATTAAATTGCAGAGGGGACTAAGATAGGGTTGTCCCTTATCTCCGTTTCTATTTAATATGGTGGTGGAGATGTTTAATTGCATAATGTGTGCGACCAAGGAGAGATGTGTTTGTAGTGGTGTTACGATTGGTCGTAGAGTAATGGTTTCCCACATGCAGTACGCAGATGATACTTTATTATTCTATAAGCCAGAAATTGATGAACTGTTGAATATAAAAAGAATATTAAGGTGTTTTCAAATTATCTATAACCTAAAGATAAATTTTTAAAAGAGTAAATTGATTGGCGTGGGTGTGGATGAAGGAGTTTTAGAAAATGTTCAAATTATTTCTATATGAGAGCAAGCAGATGCTTTAAGCTAGACAGGGATTCTTTCCTTCATGTGAAGGTATATAATGAATTGGATTAATTGCATTTGCAGCACCATATGCTGAATCTAACTTAAATTATTGTTTCTAAAATTGAAAAAGTTCAATTAATTTAGTAGCTGTGAAAGACTAAACTAATCCCTTCAAATGAGCTATAATTTAACACCGATTTGCTGAATTGGCGTCCACATATACGGGCTATTTGAAAAAATAAATTATTTTCATCAAATTTAAGAAATAAGATTAATTATAAACTTAATTTTTTATTAATATCATTTTAATAAATATCTATCGACATTGTTTAACATTTCCGTATAATAATCAGAAGCATACCACCCAAAAAAGTGGTGTCTGAATGCAGGTAATATCAATGTCCCACAGGCCTCGTTCACTAATGTGAAGCCTTATTTCAGCTAAGGTTATTTGATTGTTAGAGATGAGTCAAGATTGGAAAATCTGACTTTAAAGCTGTAACATGAAAACATATATATCTTTATTTAAAAAAAATAAACGATTTTGGGTCAATATCTTGGACATTAAGGTAATGTAGAGGACAAGTGATTGGACCCTTAAAATTTAATAGGCCCTTTCTCCATGGAAGTTGACTAGCATCATCCCATTAAGTTGGATACCAAAAGGAAAACTTAGATAATGACATTTGATAGGCATAGATTGATATCTTGACAGTGACTAATGTTATTAAAGCAAGATTAAAATTTTTTTTTAAAATTTTTTCTGTTGTAAGTACACAAGCAATTAGAACACATTATTCTGGTTATATTGTAGACACTTGCAATAGTATCGTTTTTTGCTTTCTGAAGAGATCAAAACCACCTTTTCATGTACTCTTACTCTACTTTTGGAAGGAACTATTAGAAATTATTCTTATCACTTGTTTATTTAAATAAATATATATGTATATATTATATTATATTATACCCTACTTGGAAGCATCCAATTTGTGTTACAAAATAATTTCATAATGGAGTCCTTCGGCTGAATCATTCAAGAATAATAACAATAGTAAAAAAAGATATAGGCCCCACGTCCAAAAGCCCAAAGAAGATTTACAAGGAAAAAGGTGCAATGGTTGATTGTGTAGCTACGAACTATGATTGCTGAAATTACACATATGACGGGGTGAGTAGCAGCTATGGAAGAAGGCTATTTGAGAAACAACTTCCACTAAGCAATATTTATAAAATAGTAATAAAGTACAATAGATGCAGAGATTGTGGTTATCTGAATAATATATTTTGCATCTTTATTGTTCAAGAGATGAAAAGAGTAAAACAAAAGGGCACTTCTTTATGTCGTAGCCAGTGGTTGTAATTTCAAGCTTTTTTCCCTCCATGGTACTTTCTTATAATGGAAGCATGCATATATGTGTCTTGCCATGGTGCCACCAATTCCATCAGTGTGACTTGGTTTTTTCCTTGACACCCAAGATAAAGATCTTTATCTTCATTTCAATGTCCTTATGTTAACCGCCTTCCACAATTAGAACATTCCGTATCTATAAGAGAATTGTTAAATAATTTCTTCCCACAACTTTGGTATTAGGACTAAGACCTAATCTTAGCGCTTTAGGCATCGAATCATTTCTTGGACTCTGGGTAATATAATCACCGATTCATGTGTTTAAGTTCATTATATTAAGATTATAAGGAGTGTTCTGAGTACATACAACAAAAGATAAAATCGATGCAAGTAATTCAGATGTGAAGACAAGTGAAAATCTTTGATTTGATGTTATTATAATTACCACTTGGTTGAAGCATTCAGGAATCCAGTTCCAAAGATGCATCTCAACTTGTATATCAACTAGTTTAATGAGATGTGAAAATATGGATTCTTAATGATATATTCGTATTCACTCAAGCAATATTTAGTGTATGCATGAAGAGAAAACTTCAGTCCCATGCATTACTAGAAGGAGATGATTAATAGTTGTAAAATTCGTATTAAGGCTACGGACAGTCAGCTATGAAATTAAGATTGAACATTTAAAAATTAATGTTGGAAAAGGAACAGTGGTCGAGGTATCACGTTAATGGTAGGCGGTAGCCACAATGCCTCTGCTTCAAAGCCGAGTAATGAGCTTTAGAGATACGTACTCCCAAATAAATTAACTAATATTGCAGGCAATGGAAAAGAAGGAAATGCTATTGAATATTTCAATTCAAAGATTCATATCTAAAGGAAGAAGAAGAGGAAAAAAGTGATCGAAACCAACATCCTATTAGCGGAAAGATAATAGTAGAAGATAATGTACACGTAGTTTTACATTAACAGGCAACTGCTTCTTCTATTCCATCTCTAGGAAATGTCTGAGAATCTAAAGACTATTTGAACAAAGAGAATTTTCACAAAAAGATTTTTGTTTTTTAAAGAAGGAAAAGAACAACGAAAGTGTGACTTAATCACTTGAAGGGTTTATTCAATTTTTTATAACTCCTGAATTTTGAATATGATCCTCCTGTCAACAGATTCAAGAAGCCCAATGTTGTCGATTGATTGTTCCTCGATACTATCATCGTCAATGCAAATATTCAAATCCAATGACACGCAAGGACTTGTCTCTTCCAATGCAGCAACTTTTTCTTTCTCAGAGCCATCCAATTTTTGCTTGGAAGGAGGGGAGCAAGCTCTTGATCTTGAGCAGAAGCTTTCACAGCTCAAAATGATGATAGCATCGCTAAGAATAGCTTCTTGTCCTTTTGCATTGGCTATTCTTCCTGTTTCAATAGCTCTTTTAAAACCCATTTGAGAGCAATAATCAGCTTGCTCAACATCTTCAATAAAGAAGACTCGATGTGGGTTGCTCAAAACTGCTTCAGCAAATCTTTCGATGTAACTGCAACTTTGTTCATCTCTTGATCTCTTGTTTCGACTATCGTCGGTTGAATCTGCTCGTGTAGAAGAGAAACTGCTTAATGCAATTGTAACGAAGTTGGTCTGGGACCCAAAAACAAGCCTAGCAAGCTCTCTAGCTATCTTCTCTTTAGCTTGAACGTCAACGCCTTGGAAAAACAACCAAGTTTCTTCTTTAGACTCACCATCTCTCAACTTCCCTTTTCTTCTTAACATTCCAGACCTGCATTTTAAAATTGTGCTCACAATCTCCGAAATTATATCTTTTTGCCATGGCACCTTCTTCTCCAAAGCAGTGCATAGGGTGGTTAAGTTTTCCGCATTTAGCTCCTTGAACTTGCGAACATAGTCCATCTCCATTACATCACTGGAAGAAGCTGAGTTCGGGGTGGAATTAAGTTTTGACGATAATAGTTGTTTAGGGTCCTTGTGGTCTGGAATATATAATCTCAAACCTGTGGGTTCAACAATCTTGTCAACTGTTTCAGAAATCCAAAGTTGGTGGTCTCTCCAAGACTGTCTAGGTTCAACCACAGGCCAGTCATGGTGGGGCTGGTGCAAATGAGAGTATTGTTGGTCATGTGAAAAGCAAGAAGTAGAGGAAGGAGGTGAAATAGAAGAGAATGTATGGGTTCTTTCAGATGAATATGGTTGTTTATGGACTGAATTGCAAAATGAGTTCCACTTTTTGCGAAGTTCTCTGACTGGGGCAGAGTCCTGGTATCGAGAAAAAGAACAGGTTGCAAAAAGAAAAAGTTAGTTTTCAACTTGTATACGGTTGGACACTATTTTTTTTTTTTTAAGGAGCAGAGGGATATTTGGAAATGTGATTATAACCTTATCATTGCTGCCAAGTCCTTTGTTCTCATCCTTGTATGGTTGAAACCATGGAGGAAGACTTGAAGTAGTGGACTCACTGTTACAAGTACTGCTTTGTAAGCTTCGAACTTCGTTCTCAAACTTGGCGGAGCAATCAGCACAGCAAGTCAGTTTCTTCTCCTCTCCATCATCAAGCAAAATCCAGCTTGATCCGTTTTCAACTTTCTTGCTTGTGGACTGGCTTTGTAGATCACTGAAGGGAAAAAATACAATGAAATTGATAAGTCTACATTCACACTATTGGAAACTACAATCTATGAAGATTTTTGGAAACTGTAACTTGAAGGGGAATAAGTATATTCGATATAAAGCACCCTCCTTTCCTCACCCTCACCCTCACCCTCACCCCGCTTCCCTTCTCCTTTGCTTCTTTTAAGAAGAGTAGTATTATTATCTGTGTTCAATCTTCCTCAAGAAATGAAGCAAAGAATAACTACTTAGAAAAGAAATAAAAAAAAAAAAAGAAACGTTGGTAGAAGGAAAAGGGGCGTGAAGAAAACTTGATCTGCCATTGCTACTGTTTACATTTAACCATAACAGCATTACTTTTCTGTTTGTGTTTTTTTGGACCCTTGTTAGTCTCTCAAAGAGGCAAAGAGAATCTAGTTTTTCAGGATCAATTTTGAGCTGATTCATATGAAACATGAGAATCGAAAACTATAAAGCCATATATATATATAATTGTTTCAAAAACCTTTATGTATGCAAGCTACTTTACCTGTCTGTGATGAGACTCAAGCGTAAGCTGCCTGCAGGAATTGTTAGAGGATGCAGACCCCAAACAGTTTCCAGTGATGGATGGCCAGATTTGCATCTCATGTAAGTTTGGAAAGTGGCAATCCCTATGAGCCTAAACCTACCGCTCTCTCCAATATTACAAACCAATTTCCCAAGCTCCATCATCATATGCTCCACTGGACAATAATACCCCCTACCTTGCTCACTTGAACTTGCCCTATACTCAACAGCCCATTTTAGATCTCCCAAATTGAAAACAATCCCTGTTCCTACAGAGTTCCTCACATGGCTCTTTAGCTCTTCAATTTTTTGCTCAACCTCTACTCTATTTAGATGCCCAAAAGAAGAGAAAGAAAGGTTTTTAAACTTTACATCTCTCAAAGACTCAGGAACATCTCCCTTGTTAACTTTGTCAATCACTGCTCTAACGACACCCTCAGTACTAGAAATACACTCTCCTACAACCACAAAACTTCCGCTCTTTTTGTTCATCAAATCCTCTATCACAAACATGACATCTTCGTTCCGAATTGGATCCGGTCCTCTTGGTGTCCCTACTTTACTTCCAACTTGAGCAGCAGTACTAGGAGATTGAGAGAGGACTAAATTACCATTACTACTTTCCTTAGATTTACTATTCACTGAAGGAGCGTTTTGAGAACAAATTTCTAGGGACACGGCTTGTTCGACGTTGCTTTTCACTTGTGTACTAGAAAAACCAGCTTCTTTCATCACTCGACTTACACTAGGATCGTCTAAGATGGATATAATAAGCTGCTCTAGCTCTATTTTAACCGCTAAGAGTGGTTGTTGCTGGTTTTCAATGGAGCCACGCCTTTGGTGAGCCTGAGCACGCTTAAAAGCGGCAACCAGGGCATTAGAGATGGAAGGGTATTGGGAATGACCTCCCAACATAGGGCTTGAAGACGAGGCAGGAAGGCGATTTAGGGCGACATTAAAACAAAGCTCTAAGGCTCTGCACTGAAGGGGATGAGAGTGGGATTGAATGCAAGCCGTGCGGAGCAGGCCTGTAGAAGCAGAAAGCATGGTGTTAGCTACATGGAGGGGAGTGACTTGGGCATGGCCGCGCCGCCTAGCAAGAGTTACAGCTTGCTTTACGACATTAGCTGCGTCATTCGTTAGAGCTTGTTGCACTGTGCAACCTCCTGCTCTCATATTGTCTCTCAAAACCTATTTTTCTACAAAAGTATACAGTGAAAGGACACTTATAAAATGATTAGATCAAGGAAGTAAGAGTAGAAACTTTAAGCTTCATGGATGGTGAAGAAGAGGAAATCATCAGATGGGGTTTTAGTGTTTTGAAATTGGTAGGAGTTTGGGAGGCACCTAATAATATCTAGTCTACTAGGCAGACTGGTAGAACGGGGAACTTCAGCTATCTCATTTAGTCTAAGATTGGTTCGCGGGGGGAGAGAGAGAGAGAGAGAAGGGAGTGAAATATATGAGAGGGGTGGGCTATTCTTTCCTTGTAGGTGAGGTAAAATTTGGGGTCCAAAGTCGATTTTGTAGTGGAAAGTGGAATGCATGTGCTGACAAGCAGGACGGATGCAGCAGTATCAAAGGCAACTCAGCTTTGCCCTTTTCTCTCTCTCTCAATTTTGATAAAAGACATGGTACTGCTAAGTGGGTCTCTCTCTTTTTTGCAAATATTTATAGTATAGCAAACACATTTTGCTATGAAGCTAAAAATCAACAAACGACTCTTATCTCCAAGTGCGCACATACAAAATCTTGGCATAATCATTTTGATTTATAACCTTGGAGCCTAGCCGTTCTTAGCACTTTTCAGTAAAACATAGCTCAATCAGACTCTTTTACCCACATGAAAGCAACAAAGTGGCAATAAGGACAATCTATATTTAAGAAACAATTTTACAATTACAAACATAATAATTAAGTAAAATTAGATAGTATACATTCATGGTTGAGGAATTGACCAATATCTGGATGAGAAAAGGACCAAATAATCCCTTGTAATATAATTATTCAGGATATGAACCATAGGCCAATGTGGACTTTTAGCGAAGCAAATTGGTAGCTCTTGCTCTAGCTGATATCAGAGCTAAGGAGAAGAAAGACGGTTTCCACCAATCCGCCAAAACCGAGGACCTGAAAAGAGAATGGGGACTATGTGTCTAAAGGAATCGGGAACTGTGTACGATTTTCTTCCGGACATGGAATAAAGCGTTCCTCGTCTTTCTTTCTTTCTTTTACTGAGTAAATTACAACAAAACTTAACGCTCCTTGAACCCATAGATAAGCTTGCATGGGGATTAAAGGCCAAAACATTCTCTCCCGCTCTCTCTCTCTTCATTATTTCATAAAGTTTGGAGCTTTTGGACCCTCTCTTTGATTACAAAAAAAAAGAAGAGAAAAGTAAATGAAGAAATAAATCATGTAAGAAAACATATGATAACGAACTTCCAGAGTCCTAGGGGCATTCTTTGATGGGTCTGGTTTCCTTTTAACGTGGCCAATTACATGGTACCAAATCATTTGTGCACAAGGCTGTTGTGGTCATTGTACTAAAAGGTAATTTATGGGATATATACACACACGCTAGTACTACTTCTATTATATGTATATTACGAAAGGAATTCTTCCATGGAGAGCCACTTATTGGAGCATGATCACTCCCAAGCATTGATGAATATTTGTTCTGATTATACCAGGAAAGAGATTAAGTACTAGGATCGGTGTCCATTTTATATTTTTGGGTTATTAGCACTATCAATTTTTCAGAAGGTATACATACATATATATATATATACATACATATATATATATGTATGTATGTATTGGTAGTCATGAATCTTGCTTTTATGGCACATCATGATTTAGGACATGGGTTATTTGGCAACGTAGAATATGTACACACTTGGATTCGGAAAGGAAAAAAAAAAAGAGTGAGGGGATGCTTACAAACAAGTACATATGATTGTTAGTCCCATGCATGGTTGATGATTTTTTCAGTAACAATTATATATTTTCAGTGTCTGTCTGATCTGATTTTTTTTTCAGCTTATTTATCTCTTAAAAATAAAAATAGAGGCAAACATAATTTTGAAAAACTCTTAAAAGAAAAATAGTTTTTTTAAAAGAATAAAATCTAAAAAAAATTAACAAAAACCTCAACATCGGAGCTTTCTCCTTTTTTTAAAAAAAAAAACACATTCGTTTTTCATGAAAATTTTTTTTATAGTTTTAAAAATATCCTCATCTATTAAAAATAATCTTAAAATTACCCTCTAAATAATATTCTCATTTAATATATACATTTTATGGTAATTTTAATCAAAATTAGAGTTTAAACAAGTCATTTTGCCAAATAGCTTTTTTATAAAAAAAACTCATAAAAGTAAATTTATCAAATAATTTTTACTTAATTTTAAAAATTATTATTTTTCATAAAAAATTCATAATAACTTTTAAATTAAAAAAAGTCAAGCCAAAGAAGCTATTAGTTAATGCAACTCACAAATTAAGATGTTTCTTTTACTAGGGATAGTTAACGATACATTAATCACATTTAAAAAATAATATCTTTTGCTGGTGCCAATTCATATTTTTTTGAATGGCGGTGCCAACAGGTATTCATTGACATTCTGTTCTGCTCACTAAATATTAAGGATACATTTGGTTCATGGAATAAATTAAAATGAAATAGAATATATATTTTGTGAGAATATAATAAGGTAAGAATAGAATGAAAATGTTAGTACCTAGTTTGATTGATGGAATAGAATAATGTAAGAATTACAATTATGATTTATTATAATGTTTGGTTAATAAAATAATTTTGAAAAAGCCAAGGAATAGATGATAAAAAAAACAACAATTCCATTTATTATAATATGTGATTATTTATTTAATTTAATTTTATAAATATTAATAATTTATAAATTTTGTAAAATATTTATAATTTAAATATTAGTATTTTATTCATAATTTAATTATTGAAATTTTAAAATATTAATATTTCATTTATAATTTATATATTACTATGATTAAAATAGTAATAATTTTAATTAATATTTAATTTAAAATATTAATTTTTTATAATATATAATTAAAAAATTAAACTCTTGATTATAATAAGATTTATTTTCATCAAAACAAAAAATACTCCTTATATAATTTAGGAAAATTTATACCCAAAGACAAAATTAAGTAATTTTTTCTTTTTTAATCAATTTCTATTTTCATTAAAACTTTAGAATTTTTAATGATTTATCATTAAAGTATTAGTATAATTATTTATTTTTTCTCTATTTGCATTTTTCATTTTTTAGTTTATATTTTCACTTAATAATTTAAACATTAATAGTTTTAAAATGTTACCATTTTATTTATAATTAAAATATTAAAATATTGATTCTTTTTAATTTTTTTAATTTAAAATATTGATTTTATAAGGCTAGTTTGTAATTTTTGAAGGTAAGGACATTTTAGTCCAAAACGTTTTACACTCTAATCCTATGGGCGTGAATGGGGGAGATGGTATTAACCATTTTAAGATTTTGTAAGGTTTTGAGGAACAACCATTCTTTTAGAATGACTATTCCTTCCTCCAAAAACAAACCAAACGGAGGGAGATTTTATTTTTGAAAAATAGTCATTTTCTCAACCAAACATGTCGTAAGAGTCTTATTACTTAAATAAATTAATGAAATCTCAAGTAATAAATTGGCATCAAAAGCTCTAAAATAGAGCAGTAAAGAGACTTCTCAATGATTTATAACATGATTTTTTGTTCGTACAACATCTATAATGAATAATAGTAGTAGATGGTTTTGGTTGACCACATATGTACCTCGCATTGGTTGGAAAAAAGAAGGGAAAAAAACTAGTGTGCTTGACAAACGACAGCCCTTGTAATAATATAGTAGCTATCCTAAATGAGAAAAATCCTTAACAATGCATCTTCTAGAAACATTTATATTGAGATTGATCTGCATGCCTAGCCCTTGAATCGATAAGTTTGTTGATATTGATGTCTGACAACAAAGTCCATAACAGCAGCCCATATTCTTCATTATCATTATACTTCCCGAAAGAATATATGCACAGCAAACTGCAAAAAACAAAAAGAAATCTCTGCATGGAACTGGAGAACATGTGTCACATGCATGTTCTACTCAGTCGAAGCTTGATAATGTTTGATTGTTTTGTTTGTTTAAAAAAATTAATTCAATCACAAGCTGCTGTTCCAAATTGACTAAATAACTGTAAAATTTGATTAATGTTTTCTAATACGCCACCACTAAGGAATTTCCTGGTTTAGCACTATGATTATCTTGCTCCAACGCAAAACTATTGATTTGATTCATTATTATAATAGCTGGAAACAGAAAGAAACTTATCAGATAAAAACATATATGCACTAAAACCACTTAAATTCTAAGATTACACAAAAATATGGGAATAATGATAGGGTCTAATGACTATAGGCAATAATCTTTATTGAAATTGGAAACCATATTTTATTCTCGAAAAGGAAAGCCTTGAACAATGAATTTGATTCCCTTTCCTCAACCCAATTAAAGTGTTAGCTTTATTCTTGTTTTAAAATGATAAAATTGATTCAACTTAATGAACTTTGAAAATGAATTAAACATATTTTTGAAGAAAATTCTCAAAGAAGTGTTAAAGCTAGACTTAAGAGAAAGATATATTGAAATGCTTTGCTTGTTTGAACATGATTTGAATATTAATGACCGTGCTTTTGAACTTAAAGAAATATCTCTTAATTTTTTCAAAAATTCCTTATTATTGAAATTCAAAGTGCCAGCCTAGGAATCTAATTTTCAAAAGAAAAGACTTGATTCTTAAATGAGAAGAAAACAAAATCTATTTCTTTGATTATAGGAAGAATTAATTCTAAAGATCAACCAATGAGCCAAATGCTCGAGTGCCAATGAAGAATCGATTCTGAGAAAAGAATGAGTCAATTTTTGAAAGACAAAAGCTTTAGGATTTGTGAAGAACCAATACCTCAGAGACAAAGAATCAATTTTAGAGGGACAAAAAGCAGAAGCTAGAAGTGCAAAGAAGAAATAATCAATTTTACATGGAGAAGATATTGGTTCTTGGAGCACCAAAAGTACAATTCAGAAACTTGATGACCAAGAAAGAGATAGTACAATTGAACAAGAGTGAAGTGACAAAAATCAAGCTTAAATTCAAAATCTGGCACCATACCACAATGAAAAACTGACACCTTGAGGCAAAAGAATCGATTTTCCAAGATTGTAAATGTGTCACCTTTGAACCTAGTGGTACAAGAACCGACACCTCAAAATAGAAGAATTAATTCTCTAAAGATAAAAAGCTATAGACTTTATGAAGAACCAACAAATCAACAGTAAAGAATCGATTCTACATATGTAACAAAATTGTGCAAACTAGCTGGAACATA